GGTGTGCAGGAGGCAGCTGATCAATGTTTCTAACTTTCTATCCCTCTCCCTTCCTCTCTGTAAAAAATCAATAAAATATATTTTAAAAAAAAGAAAGAAATAGGATATCGAACAGGCAAGTTGTGATAGGAAGATCATAGGGAGAGAGAAAGAAAAGTTTCAGTCTTGACAAAGGCAGGATGTCACACGGATTTATATTTTAACCATCTTCTGTCAAAATCACACTGTAGCAGCTCTTACTCTGTTTGGTGGTTTGCCTTTAATGAGTAGGTCCCAGCCTGTGAAATCAGGTAAATACACAGATGGGATATTTCCGGGAAGGGATTTCCCAGAGGGCACCAGGGAGAGGATCCAAGGCTCTCCAGATAACCCCAAGATGGCGGTAAAGCTTGGTTTTGTTTTGTTCTTAAAATTGACCTGTTATATGCAAATTCATTCTTTGGATAAAGAAATTTTATTAACTATATAATTAAACATTATTTTTTTAAGTTTATGAGTTTTCACATGAATAAATTCACAAATCAGCCAATCCTTATTTTTAAGTACTGGGGGTTATGGCTTTCGAGGGTGAGGTGAGGGTGGCTTTCGACTTGTGTCCTGTGTCCTCTTAGGTGGGGAGGAGAGCAGTGGGGCCAGAATGTTCCCATCCATTGACACAATTAACTTAGTGCTTTGTCCCGTGGCCTGAGCTGCTTCTATTCCCACTGAAGGTAGAAAAGGTGAGCCCAGTAGGGGAGTCTGGTGACACAGTGGACAACCACATAGAGACCCTGCTTGCAAACCATTTCCTAATCCCAGCTCCACTGAGCTATGGGCGTGACATTAAATTAGCTACAGTGGGGCCTTGACTTACGAGTTTAATTCGTTCCGAGACCGAGCTCATTAAGGAGCTCGTTAACTCAAATTACTCTATCAACTCAATGCAAAAAATCAGCCGAGAGACAGCTGGTATCTCAAAAAACTCGTTAGTCGGGACACTCATAAGTCAAGGCCCCACTGTATTTGTAGGACCCTTGCCAGATCAGCATGAGGGCTGGCCAAGTCATGTATCTAACACCCAGGGAGAAAAGCAGAGTTAACTTTATTGCCACTTTCTGCAGCAGAGGAGCCTGGAGCTCAGAGAAGTGCGCCCCTGACCTAGTTAGAAAGTGTGTAGATGAGACCCAAACTCCAGGTGTCCAGCTGCTCTTTCCATGTGCCAGGCAGGATGCTCCTCTCCCCCCAGCAGCGAGGGCCCTGGGCTTCCACAGTGAGCGTCACCACCCCGAGCAGATGTGCTGCAGCAAGTCTAACACGTGCACTGTTTCATATTCTTATTGTTGGATACAGATATCGGAGTCATGGTAGCTTTCACCCCGAGGAGACCAGGTTGGTATAGGGGTTTCTGTTTGTCTCTTCACTTATCTTGGGGTGGCCCTGGGAGGAGATTCAATAGATCCTAAACCAGAGAGGCTCAATCATTTTTTTGAAGTGGGAGGGTTCCCATGCTGGAATCCTGGGCAGACTGGAGAGGGGAGTGTGATGGCACCTGCCCTGGTGAGCCTTCCTGATTTACCGGTGGATCCCAATATATGGACTGGAAATCCCCAACAACCTCTCGGTTGTAAAAATGGATAATGATAATATTTTGCCCAGTGATAAATAATGGGAAGTCTAGGAGGTAATGTGTGCAAAATGGTGTTCCTGGCACATAGTGAATTTCAATACATTTTTTAAAAAACTTACACGCATTCCGGGAAATATTCTAGCCCATTTCTTTGTCATCAACAATGCAATTATTTGTAGCATGCTTTACATTTTACAAGCATTGTTTCCTATTTTAACCCTGTGACTTGGGTAAGAGATGTCCTCTGTCACATGTGAATGAAACATACTAGTACTCATTTGGGTTAAGCAACCAGCCCCAAATTCTAGCACTGAGAGTGGATTAAAGCTGGCCCTGAGCCGGGTCTTGTGTGCTGCCCCATATTCCAGTGGCACGATCGTTCTGGGCTGGTGAGCTCTACTGTGGCTGTCATGGGGCCGAGGAGGAGAAATACATTTTATCAAGACTTTTCCTGCTTCGAGTCAGGCTGGGAATGCCCTTGATGACTGACTCACGGGTTTGGGCAAACAACCTTGTGTGTTTGTGAAACAAACATCAACCCACCCAAGACAGCTGAGCTGGTTGTGAATCCTTTGGGCAATTGGAAGGACGTATGTCTCTGGTTTCCTCTGCAGGGGGTCTGAGCTGTGCCTAGACCAGGCCTTCTCAGCGCTGGTCTTCCCCAAAGCAATGCAATCTCTGAAAGTGATTTCGGACATCAGCATCTCTGAAGCTTCCTTAGTTGCCTCTAGTACAGCAGGGCCAAGAGCTCTTGTTTCCTGAGGGTCAGGAGTGCCTATCTCTAAGAGGCGGGGACCCCTCCTCCTCTCCTTTCACAGCAGCAACTTCGGGCACGCCCAGTGCCCAGGCACCGGCTGCCAATGGGAGGTGCAGAATACTGATGCCATCGATGATGAAGATGTTCCAAAAGCAACCTTATGTGTCCCTCTGGTAGATCCTGGCATTTATTAGAAGCAACTTCCTGTTTGAGGATGGAAGTAACTCAGCCCTTTCAAGCAGTCTGAGGAGACCATTGGCCAAGTTCCCAGAACATCAGATTCTGCCTCTGTGAAGTGATGATGGTAGTGAGCCCTGGGGGACCACAGTGGCAGTTCAGGGTTTGGAATGTGCTGGCCTGGGGCCTCTGCCTGGTAACTTTTCTTTGAAAACAGGGTAACAAGAACTATTATTGGAAATTTCCTTTAAGAAATTTCAGACAAAAGGGATCCCCTTTTTGTTTCTCAGGAGACTTGGATTACTGTTCTTATCACAGGATAATGGCAAATGAAAGGGGGAAAATGCTACCTCCAAGAACGGTACTTTTTTTTGTTTGCTTGCTTGTTTTTGTTTTGTTTTTTCTTTTTTTAAATATTGTTTTTTATTGATTTCAGAGAGGAAGGGAGAAGGAGAGATAAAAACATCAATGATGAGAGAGAATAATTGATTGGCTGCCTCCTGCATGCCCCCCACTGTGGATCGAGCCCGAAACTGCAGCATGTACCCTGACCAGGAATTGAACCATGACCTCCTGGTTCATAGGTCGGTGTTCAACATCTGAGCCATGCCAGCCGGCCTGTGTTTGTTTGTTTGTTTGTTTGTTTTTTAGCATTTTTCATATACCAAGCACTGTCCTAGGTGCTTTGCTTACTTCACCTCATTTTCACAATAATCCTGTTAAGTAGGAACTTTACTATTATCTCATTGTACCAATGGGGAAACTGAGGTTCAGCGAGGTATCTATCCATGTCTGGGTGGTTCAAGGACCCATTTTTTCCCATTCTCCTGTACCCGAGGGTCTCAAAGGGCACCTCAGGTGCCACCTTTCTGATGTTTGGCCTCTTCACAATATCGTTTACCAGTATTCCTCAGGCCTCTGTTTGCACACCTCCGGGAACAGGGAACTCACCCCCGACCCAGTGCAGCCCATTTCACTATTCAGACAGCAACATTGTGGAGATCCTTAATTGCTCATCTGGATCCAGGGAGAATATCAACAGAATAAACAAACAGATAACTAAATACGTGAATAAGTAGAAGCTTCCTGTGTGTCTCCTAGAAGCTTCTTCTCATTGGTCCTAATCCTATCCCTTAGAATAATAACAAGAATAACATGTTTATTGACCAACAGTATGTTCCAGTTACTATACTAAAAGCTTTACATTCATTATCTCATTGTACACGAGGACCCTGAAGTTTGGAGATGTTCAGTACCTGGTCAAGGTGGCAAAAATAGTGCTGGGGTTGGAATCCAGGCAATCTGACTGCGGAGTTCCTGATCCCAGCCTCTGCACTCTGCCCCTCCTGAGTCCTAAATATGTAAGCAAAACGGGAAACGGATGGTCCCGGCACTCTTCTCACATTGCTCCAGGAATGCAGAAAGCTCACAGAGGGTTGGAGCCTTCGCTGCTCTCCTCACCCCCTTCCTCCAGCCTTCCTTCTCCCTCTGCCCCCTTCCTCCACGGCTGCCCCACCAGCCTGCCTGACTCTCCTCTCAACTGTGACTTCCCGTTCTCCCACACAGAGCTGGCTTCTCGCCACTCTCCCAGCCCCAGAAAGGGATTCTCTCAGGAGGCCAGCAGAAGGTCAGGATGCTCCTATTGTCTGATAGAGAAGCAAACTAGGGCCTTTCCCAGGGATAAGGCCCCCAAATGGCTTCCCACTCAGGGCTAGTAATAACAATAGTAACCATAGCTGACATCCGGGTCACATACTATGTGTCAGCTTAGCTGTGTACTTGCGGGGTGACCTCAGTGAGTTCCAGGGCCTCTTGACCTTGGAAATGGTCTGAGAGCCTGGCTCTGAAAGGGTGTTCATGCTGCTCAGAGGAAGCAGCTGGCTCAAGGCCAAACACAGGTTAGAGCCTGGGCTCAGGGAAATCAGGCAAACCTGGATTCCGGTGGTAGTTCTGATGCTTAGGAGCTGTGTGACCTTAGAAACATTACCTACCCTCTCTGGGCCTTGGCTCCTCATCTGTAAGATGGGTAGGAGAAGGCTGCTGTATTGACATCATGATTAAATGATGTCATTTGTTTTGCGTGGGTGACACAGGTGAGTGAAAATTGGAAAAATGCCAGCTAGTGCTATTAGTATTAGAATTAGGCCTCATTTAAGTGGGATTGTAGGTGCACTTCACGATTTCATTCTTTCGTTTTTATTTTATGATTTCTGTTCAGATGGGGTTTTTGTGGTTTCTGCATGAGTAGAGCTGTCTGGATCCCTTGTTGGGTCATCCTGACACTTGTCTTTGGATCCTCATCCTGGGTGGGTGAGGAGGCTGGCCGGCTTCCGGGAGAACTCAGTGTATGCGCGTGTGTTTATTTTCTCCTAACATATCTGAATGACTGAACGTGACAATGATTGTGTTGAAGTTTTTCTTCTTTTTTTCAGAAAGGGGATGTTTGGGTTGAAGCTGAAGAAGAAGAAGAATAAAGCAGAGAAGGGGTTAATCCTAGCCAACAAGGCTGCCCAAGGTGAGGCTCTGGTGGGGGGAGCTGACTGCTACCCTGGGGCCTGGGGGCCTCACAGAGTGGACCCCTCCATGGCTGAGAATGGGGTTCACGCTCCATAGGAGTGAGGCAGGACATGCTGCCTGCTGGGTCTTTGGACCCTGCCAATCACAGGTGCGGGCCCAAGGCCATCCACCTCAGGATGGCTGGTCACCTGGTCATTGGACCAAACGGGCAGGTGGACACCGCTGGGCTGGGGGAGGGGAGCCATGAAGAAGCAGCAGCTGGACTCAGGCTCCTGCCTCTGTTCCCATTTGCTCTGTGGCCCAGGATAAGCCACTCAGCAGCTCTGAGTCCCGGTTTCTTCCTTTGTCAAGTGGACGTGGTGTGGGTTGCTGGGTTGACCTCACATGGCCATATGGAGAATCAAGTGAGATTGAAAATGAGAGCGAGCATAGCAGCTACTATGGGGGAGGCTCTGTCTGTATTGTCTCATTTAACCCCTCCATCATCCTACCAGTAGGTGTTTTTGCCCTAGTTTTACAAAGGAGTTTACAGAGATGCAGAGAGAGTGAAGTGTGGGGAAGGCCAGCTGCAGGAATTTGCAGGGCCCAGTGAAAAACAAAATGCAAAGCCAGTCTTAATAAATGATTAAGAATTTCAAAATGGTAGCAGCAGGGCATTGAGCCAAGTTGGAGGAAGTCCTTTTGATCACGGACCCCTGACACGGGCCCGCCACGGCAGGCACGGAGCCAGGAAGCAGTCACGTTGGGAGGTAAATTCAGGCTCTCTGGCTTTCTGTTCTTGCAACGGGCTACTTCCTTCTCCTAAAGAGCAAGGCCCGAGTTACAGGGTAAACTGTGCCAGCAGAGGCCAGGCCGGTGTCCACTTGACATTCCTGTTTATTGACTCAAATAGGAACACCGGCTCCCATTGGACAGGTCTGGGGTGGTCCCCGGGAGACTTCTGACAGCAACCAGTTCAAGGCCAGCTTTGTGGGCCGTTTCTAAACCCCTGTCATCTCCTTGGGGCCTCCTTCACCCTGAACTGCCATCCGCAGCAGGCGTCCTGTAGCCCTTCCCCACCTAACTCCGCTCCTTGCCTAAGGTAGAACCTAATCTTACAATAAAATAACATGAAAATTATTCACACTAAAGGTGTTGGTGATAATGAGTCCAAGTCATCTGGGACAAGAAAGGAGAGGCATTACATTTGAAGTGGGGACAAGGCTTAAAGCTTCATAGAAGTACTTGTCTATTCAGTTAAATTATAGGTACCAGGGAATGGGTAGAAAAGGCTGGGGGTCTTTCCTGTTGTCCTTGAAATTATGACACTGTGGTAGGTTCTGGAGACGCATGCTTAAATAAGGCACAAGGGCCTTATGAAAAATGATAATTTATTTAAAAATATATTTTTATTGATTTCAGAGAGGAAGGGAGAGGGAGAGAGAGAGATAGAAACATCAGTGATGAGAATCATTGATCAGCTGCCTCCTGCACACCCCCTACTGGGGATCGAGCTCTTGACCAGTATTGAATCTGGGACCCTTCAGTCCACAGTCAGACACTCTACCCATTGAGCAAAACCGGCTGGAGCTGAAAAATAGTATTATTTATGACACATTAATTAGACCCTGATGCTTTCTGCTTTTGACATGCATCATTCATTACTCTAAAATGTAGATTCCTTTGCTCCTGTTTTACAACAGAGGTTCAGAGAGGGTGAGCGGCTTGCCCAAAGTCACACAGCTAATAAGTTTGAAGAAGTTGGCTCCTGAGCCTAGGTCAGTCTCACACCAGAGCCTGGGCTCTCTTACCCGCTGAGTTGCCCTCCATTTAGGCGCCCTCACTGCTTAAGGGAGGAAGGAACAAGCTGGTGGAGATTTGGGGCAGTCCACCACAGGCGTTCGAAGGAGCTGGCTCATTCTAATTAGAGTCTTCAGCCCACAAAGCAAACAGGGCAGAGAGAATCAGGCCCCTCCTAGAAAGTACATAGCACCCGTCCTGCTGGCCAGGGGCCACCCTATAGGAGATGGCAAAACAAAGTCCAGAGAACTGAGTACACATTGGTCTTTCCTTGTTGGCCTGGCCTGGGAAGTTAGGACTTTTCTGGGTGAAATGTTTTGAGATTCTCAAAGTCTGTGGCTTTTATATCTGCATATTTGGAGGCATACTAGGCCATGCCTTTATTTTCTAAAATTCCAGTTACCTTAACTCCTCCATTAATTAGTTACCCAACTAAGAGTTATTAGGATCGTCCATTCATTCATCTACTCAGCAGATAGTAATGGAATGCCTGCTGAGAGTTGAGCTGTGCTAGGTCTGGGTGTGTAATGGTCTAGAAGGGGGACAGCTCTATGTAGGACTCTTCCATATGCCTCTCCAGATCTGTTCTGCACCTTTTCCTGGGACCTGTTCTCTATCCCAGGAGGCTAACCTCTATGGTTGCATGACCCAGGTTCCTTCCCCAGTGGGGTGTCCCAGCAGGAGATCTGAGAGAGGGAAGAGAGTGAGGCCAGGATCGGTGTCCCTCCACTGAAGGACGGTTGCTGCTCCTTGCAGGGAAGCTTGACTGCACCTGACTCCTCTTTCTACACTCTGGTGGCTGTGCTCTCTCTCTCCTCATTGTTGGGGCCTCGGAGTGGTAACAGCTTGGCTGCTGTGAGCCCCAGAGAGCTGCACAACCCTCTGTGGCTTTCTCACACCCACGCCTTTATAAAAAAAGGCCTCAAATGGTCCCATTCTGGATGGGCCGTCTGTTACCTATGGGGCGCTAATGAGGTAACTGCATTAGAAGTCGAGGAAAGTAGCACCAAGATGATAGCGCGCTGACACGGAGACTATTGGGGCATCTGTTTCAGCGCCGTCAGGGAAGGGTTCTCTGTGGCGATAAAGTTTAATCTGAAACTTCAAGGAAGAGAAGGAACCCAACAAGGGGTGGGCAGGAAGGGGAGGGATGTCTGTGAAGATAAATTGCACGCAGGAGAGAGCTTGTTCCGGGAGAAGGAACTGAAATAGGCCTGTGCGACTAGAAAGCAGTGATGGCAGGGACAGAGGGACCCGTGGCCCAGGAGGAGGGGATGGAAGCCAGACAGAGCAGAGCATCAGAGTCCTAAGTGGACTTCAGCTTTATTCTAAGGACAATGGAAAACCACTGAGGGGTTTTAAGAAGAGAAGCAACACGAGGTGGATTTTTTGAGACGGTCACTCTGGATGGTCCATGGTGAGTAGATTGGAGAGAACAGAGTAGTAACTCAATAAATGAATGAATGCATGCACACAAGCTCTAGAAGACGCTGACTACCTTTCTACCTCTGGGTCTGTGTCACCCTCCAGCATGTAATGTAGCGGGAGGGGGGGTCCACATTTTGTTACCTTCCAACCTTGGCATCTAACCTAGCACAGTGTCTGGCATATGTAGGTACCTAAGCATGGTCACTGGAAACTTGCATGGATAACATTTGGTCCCCATCCTTAAGGCCTTTGTGGCCAAGTAGGGAGAAAGGCTTAATTGCTTCTGCTGCCGCAGGAGCAGGCAGGCGCTGCCGTTCTTTCTGTGTCCCCGCAGGCTGGCTTGTCTCTCGTTTCCACAGTGAGAGGAGAGTCAAAGGTGACTGCATTCATTCCGGCATCCTTTCTGTAACTACTGAACACCACAAAGGCTTATGTCCATGAGCTCCTCTGACATAGGGGACCCATTAGCCCATCAATTATTTGATTTTGCACCGTTTTCCTTCGTTGCTGATTAAAATCAGAGAACCAAAATACATGAAAACTGGAAGGTGTTCAGAGACGATTAAGTTGACAAGTTTACCAGTTGGGTCCCATGGAGTCCAAGGTTCTGAGAAACAGCTTCAGAGGTGCCTGAAGAGGGGGCGGTGAGGTCCTGTGGGATGTTCCCTGCCCGGAGTTTCACCCAATGGCACATAGAACAGCTTGGTTGAAATGGACTCGTGTTATATATTTGAAGTTTTATATAAAATTACATTTATGAAAGAATTATGTTGCTTTTAAAAGCTTTAAAAACACTTTTCTTATCTAATCCTTTCATTTTATAGACAAGGAGGGGAAAATGCCATGAAATTCTGAGTGACTTACTCAACTTAAAATCCACACAATGAGCACTCACCATGCACCTGGCAGATATTGTGCTAAGAGCTATCTATACTTAATTCAATTCTTCTAACAGCCCTATGGAGTAGCTAACGCTAGCATTGTCTTGCTTTATAGAAGAGGAAAACAGGGCTGAAAGAAGTTAAGTAACTTCCCCCAAATCTTGGAGCCAGAAAGTGACAGAGCTGAGATTTGAACCCAAACCTTTTGGAGTTAGGTCTTTGAACCACACCATGTCAGAGCCTCTTTGTGTAAGAGATTGTTCCATCACTCTTTACTTTTTGCGGAAAACCTGGTTGAAAAGTGGTTCTCAAGATTTGCTACACAATAGAATGACCTGGGGAATTAAAAACAAATTGACATCCCAGATAAATTAAATCAGAATCCTTCTGGTGAGGGAGGAGGTGTTATAAAGAATCTGTTGGGTATCTATTCATGAAAATAGTCTTAACACATGTGTATTCGTTTCCTATGACTGCTGTAACAAATACCACACACTAAGGCCATATCTAATGGTTCCCTTGTATCTCTGTGGCATGGCACTGGACACAGAATGGAGGCTCAGGTCACTACTACATGTGTATTTAACAGGGTTTTCTTTCTTTTTTGCTCCTCTAGATGGTCAAGGTGAAGCAGAAGCACCACAGGAGGGCCCTTCTCCCCAGGAAGGACTGAGAGGAGATGTAATTTATGATGATGCGTCCATCACTCCTGTCCCCTCAGCTCCTCCAAAGAGAAGGTACAGTGTTGATGCGGGCAGTGAGCACACATTTGGGAGCCCGTCCCCTGTGCCAAGTACCCCTGCAGGCTCGAGGGGACAGAGAATAGCACCTAGTCACGGCCTGCAAGGAGCCAAAGGCCTAAGAAGACCGAGTGCCATGTACTCATGTCCAGCTTTCTCTGTGGCCTCTTGATCCCGGCCAACCTTCAGCAGGCCAGGGTCCTGGCTGTACCAGGTTCCAGTCTTAAATCCCCTGAGTTAAGGTCCTCATGTCCCTTACAGTTCAGAAACGACAGCAGCAACAGGAGACAGATTCAGGAGCTGCCTTTCACCTGCTCTTGAATTCATCAATACCTTAGATGTCTTAGCTTCGTGTCTGTCCCAAATGAAAAGGTGGTTCTTAGGCAACCCAGCTACAAAGTCAGAACAAACTGGCCTTCTGCCTGAGATTTGTGGTATCAGTCAGCTATTGATGTTTCCAAATAACCCCTAAATTCAGGGGTTTCATATAATCAACATTAATGATTGTTCATGAGTCTACCAATTAGTTAGGTAGTTTTATTGGTGCCAGATAGTCTCAGATACATCACTTACGTATCTATGGCCATTTGTCAGCTCTGCTGATGTTAGTCTGAGGGGTGGCTGGTGGTAGGCTGGTCCAGATTTGCCTCAGCTAGGACCACCAGACTCTCCATGTGGTGTCAGATCCCCCAGCAGGCTAATCTGAGCTTGTTGCAATGGGGGTGATGGCAGAATTCCGAGAGAAAGTGGAAGTACACAGGTCTCTCGAGGCCTAGGTATAGAATAGGCAAGTCATTTCTGCTGCATTCTATTGGCCAATGCAAATCACAACACCAGCCCACATCAGAGGACACTGTTTTAGGGCAAAGAGCATGGATGTAAGGAAGCCAGTAGTTGGAACTATCAGTGCTTTCAGTGTACCATGTTTGTTTATGTCAATTTCTTACTCATGGTAATTCTTCATGCCATCCCATCTTTTTTTCTCAAAGAAAATTAGTGCTTCCCTGTGTGGCAGATCCTGAGTTGTTATTACAAGGCTGTGGCAGGAAGGCAGTGTGTGTATGTAACGGGCAGAGGTGGGTGACCAATGGAAAAGGGAGAAGGTGCTATCTCAGAGGTTGACCTTTAACAGAAGACATGAAATTTGTATGAACATACTGCAATATCTCCTCCCCCATACACTGCACCATGACAACCACCCCCAAGCCCTGAATAGGGGAAATGTCAATTATTTTTAAGTATCTTTTAAAGGATCACTTGCCATTTATTTCACCAGGATAATAGCACTGAATGGAGGAAGGCAGAAAAAAAGTAAGGAGTAGAGACTTTTCTCCTTGGTCAGAGCATTCTCCATCAGTTGAAATTCTACCCACCAACTAATGCTCAGTTCAGATCCAGCCTCTGTTGCTTATCCAGCTCTCAGGAATTTCTCTCTTTTTTGAACTCCGATGCATTTTTAATATGACACATTTTACACCTTCTAGTTCTCTTTAAATGCTCTGGTCCTCTCTCTTGAATAGATTGCTAGCTTTGCAAGGGTCAAGATGATGGATGGCTAATTCATCTTGGTTTTTCCTCTAGCTGAGGAAATCACATAGCTTCCACATAGTAAACGATTGATATAAGTTTGCCATTTTATTAACGAACATCTATTTTTTTTTTTGATATTTACATGCATTATCTCCTCTACCCCTATGTGGTAGAAATGATCATTTCCACTTTCCAATGAGGAAATTAAGGCTAACATCACAAAATTGGGGAGAACAAGTATTCTAATTCAGATCAGTTTGACTCCAAAGCCTTGAGATTTTTTGCTAGTTTACTGTTCTCTACCAGACTCAATTATCTGAAGAAATGGAATGAAGTTGAGATGCATGATGGTATTGTTAAAAGGCAAGAGAATACATTTAAAAGGAACTCAGGCACAGTTCATTTCCTGCCTGTTGCTGCTTCTGTGACTATAAGAATTCTTCATCTCTTTCTACTATTATCCAATCTCTAAATCCCAGGTGTGGCACACCTGTTTTCAATTACTTATGACAGTCCAAATAAAGGAAATTGTCTGGAATGTGAAATTTCACTGAGATAAAATCTTGGCTGTTCTTTCCAATTTCTCTTTTACCAATTCTTTCAATCTCAAAATTCAGAATGGTTATATCTAACGGATATAATCACGAAACTCAGAATGGTTATATCTCGTGGAAATGGCAAATTCTTTCAATCTCAAAATTCAGAATGGTTATATCTAATATAATCACGAAACTCAGAATGGTTATATCTAGTGGAAATGGCAGAGTGGTCCTGTGGAAAGGATCTGACAGGAGACAGGGGACATCCTTATTGAGACCCAGCTCTGCCACTGACTTGCTGAGGAATCTCAGTTTTTCATTCTGTGAAATAAAAAATAAATAATACTGATAATCATACTAACAATAAGAGTTGACATTTATTCTCGCCAAGTCCTGGATTAAACGTTTACATGCATTATATCATTAAATTGTAGCCATCACCTCATGTGGTAAGTGCGATTATTAGCTCCACTTTTAGGATGGGGAAACTGAGTCATAGAGAGATTGTCACTTGTCCATTTACACTTATCTCCCCCAGAGATGTAAAGAGAATATGTGATATGACATAAATAAAAGCACTTAGAAACACATAGGGAAATATTACATGGCTTATGGATCTCAAGTATGTTCTTACTTGATGAAATGTATATGTTCAACTTTCTTTTAATAGATCAAAACTGTTGACTAAGATCCATGATGGGGAAGTCAGATCCCAAAGTTATCAAGTAAGTGATTGACTCTTCCTACCAGCTTCCCCAGTTCTTCTTGTGAGTGAAGAGCCTAGTCCAGAGTGTGTACACGCTGCTTTGTGTTGTAGATTGCCATAACCATCACTGAGGCCCGCCAACTGGTGGGTGAAAACATTGACCCAGTTGTGATCATTGAGGTCGGGGATGAGAAGAAGCAAAGCACAGTGAAGGAAGGAACCAACAGCCCATTTTACAATGAAGTAAGTCACGGGGGTCCCCAATACCCTCTCCATCAACACTCTCTCGACTGCCACTCTCTGGTGTTCTTGAGCCAAATAGAAAGCCTGTGCCCTCATGACTGCTTCCCATCACTCATCTAAGCCCATGGCAAACTCTCATAGCCTCCTTAACAAACAGTCCATAAAGTTAAACAAAAAGATAATGGAAAGGATAGGTAAGAAATTCCCACTCATTTAAAATACATTAGTATATTTTTAGTAAGACCCATTTTCGTATTCCTTATAAGCTTATCTTCATCCATTATAAGCTCTAGGTTTATATTAAAAATGTGTTGGATGTTGGTTAGTGAGAAGATACACATTCTTTTGCATAGCAGAGGCATTGTAAATCTAATTACTACTTTTGAAACAGGCATGCTGCCTTGGAAAGTAAAATAGTCCTATTTTCCTAAGCAATGTAAAAATTGTAAAGGAATACATCAAAGAGAGACATGAAGCTTATAAATATTAAACACACTACATTCTCTTTTGAAAGGAAAAAGATTAGTAAAAAAAAATGGTGAAAGATACAAAGAGTATAAAGTGCGATTTGGTGAAAAATGTGTGTCCCGCTGATCTCTGATCCTTAACCCCTTAGTCTCCTCCCTAGAGGCAGCCATGCTCACCAGGCATTTGTATACCGTTTTAGAGACATTTTGGGCAAGCACTAAGAATACAAATAAATATCGTCACCAAATGGTAACATTCTATACACGCTGTCCTGGACCTTGGTCTTTCAACCAATGTGTCTTGGAGATGAGCCCGAATCAGGATGTAGCGCTCAGTCTCATTTTCTGCCCATTGCTGTAGTTTCCCATTGCATTGATGCACTGTAATTTACTGAGCCAGTCAATTTCTCATTGATGGATATTACAATTTCTTTCAGTCTTTGGTCACTACTTATAATAATATTTACATGGCATGACTGGGGCAAAGAGTATATGCAACTAAGAAATTTTAAAATAAATTTGTTGGGGTGACATTGGTCAACATGAACAGCATTTAAAATTTTGATATCTCCAAATTTCCCTCCCAAGAGGTAACCATTTATACTCCAGTAGTGTTCGAGGGTGCTTGTTTTCCCTTAGACATCATGAATTATCAAAAAATTCAGTAAACTCTTAATTACTTTCCCAGTGGCGGTGGTAATTGAAAAGGAAGGCAGGAGAGCATGGATAATGAAATGCATAGAAAATACCCAAATCCCATTAGAGCTGTTAACTCCTTTCCTCTTTATCACTCCTGCCTCTGAGCCTTTTATCGTGAGCAGAAGTGGCTGTCATCTCCTTTCTGGTCCTCTCCCTGCCTCCATAACATCTTTGGCATGGTTGTGATATGAAATAATGTGATGCAAAGCTCTACAAATTTGTTAATGATTATAATTAGTATCTGCTTTATGCATACAAGTCCTGGGTCTAAATGACATTAACTTAGGCCCAAGTGTAATCACGCAAAAACATAGAAGTTGAAGTAAAAATCTGTCTTACAGTTGAACTGAAAACATTTATTACAGCGTTTGACCCTAGTTGTCAAGCCCAAAGTTCATCAGATGTTGAAGGAGCTGGTTAGTAGGGGCTGGGGAATATTTCTCAGCTAGAAGTGTATGTGGGCTCGGCAGTCTGGGGAACCTGTGTGAGGCAGTTGGGTCTGAAATGTGAGATTCAGCAGAAGGCAATAAACATTGGAACTAATTTATTGGTCCAAAGGAACCCACAGTATCTCATATATCAGAGAATGAAGACTGGCAGGTAAGTGAATTTTGCACATAAAATAAATGCTGAACATGAAACTCTTAAAAAATTTGAACATATATATAAAAAACTTCCTGAAATGTTACACATTTTTCTATTTTCTTAAACAGAAGGCACTGGAAATGCTGTAACCTTTTATTGATACCTAAGGACTGCCATTTTGAAGGTCTCATTATAATACATGATGACATCTTTCAGTTCCCACATTTTGGTTTTTCTGTTTTGCCCATTAAAAACAGGCTGTTAGATGTTACTTCTCTCTTTCCTACTGCTGTCATGTTCATCTCTAACATCCTTGGGTCAGTTCTCCATCCTGAAGCTCAAAAAAAAAAAAAAAAAGAAAAGAAAAGAAAGAAATAATTCACAAAACGACTTCCTAGTTCTACCTCTACAATCCACAAAAACAAACAAACAAAAAACACCACCACTCCAGTTTTCTGCACCTTAGAATCATACGACCCCACATTTGGAAGGTACTCACTGAAGTTTAGATGATGAAATGTCTAGTCCTTGAGCCCCTTGTGTGATAATTCCAGGAGAACACAGGTTTGGTCCCAGGCCCACCAATAACTAGCTATATGACCCTAGGCATGTCTCTCTCTTTTAAAAATATTTTTATTACTTATTTTATTTTTTAATTACAGTTGACATTCAAAATTATTTTATATTAGTTTCATGTGCACAGCATAGTGGTTAGACATTTGTATAATTTACAAAGTGATCCCCCACAATAAGTCTAGTACTCACCTGTTACCATACATAGTTATTACAATATTATTGACTGTATTCCACACTGAGATACTCTTTTCACCCATCATTCTAGATAGGTAAAAATAAATAAATAAACGATTTGACAATATAAAGGCTTGGCATAGGTGTGGAGAAATGGCTATTTTTATATGCTGCCAGTGGGAATGTCAAATGGTTTACCTCCCTCAGAAAGAAACCATGCTATTTACTAAATATTTACATGCGTATAAAATAAACCATGACCCAACAATTCCACTTCTCATGTCCATTTTAGAGGAAAACTCACATATATCCTGTGCAAAGATGTGGTTGGTGGCATTCTTTATTTTTTTACTTGAAAAAAAAAATTGAAAACAAGTTAAATGACCTTCCAAAGGGTATGGCCAATCCATTGATGATATATACATTCATGCCATTGAGGGCCCATGTAGCAACTGGTTAGAACAATACAGATGTAAATCTACTCCAGGGACAGGGTTCTTAAATGCAAGGCTGGGATTTAAAGTCAGAATGAACTTTATGTTTTATAGTACTTTGTCTTCGACTTCATTGGGCCTCAAGTGCATCTTTTTGACAAGATCATCAAAATCTCGGTAAGTATATGATTGGTGGTGGGAGTGGGGGGAGTGGGAGAGACTCTAGACATTGGGAGTTCTCTAGGGCAGCACAGCCAGCTTAGAAGAGGATAGACTCAGGAGGGCGAGTGTGAGCTGGTGAGTTTGAAACCAACAGGATAGAACTTGCAATAAGCAGAATAGAGGAGTTCCAGAAGGAAAACCTTTTCAAGAAAATCTGTGCTTGTTGGAAGCAAGTTGTGATCTACTGTCAAGCCATCATGAATTGAATTGTGTAGTGTACTAATGTGGGAATGTGAAAAATATGCCTCAAATGACAGTGGATTGCCATTTTTGAATTGGTTTCTTTCTTTTTATGAAGCAAATGTTAGTGCTTCTCTCTTGGAGTGATCTCCACACTAATGATAATTAATCACATCCCTTCCCCTCCTAGTTAGTAGTAAACTGAGAAATAGAAAGAATCAGGAAGGAACCAAATGTATCAGTAATGCTGGATTAGAGGATGTGATTTGGAGCAAGTGGTTACCAGTTGGCTTCTTAGTAGTTAGTTGCTGTTGAGTGTAGTACCTCCAGATCTACCCATGAGGGATTGGGTCTGCTGCATAGACCCTTCCTCAGCCCTGGCAGGTGAATTCCTACCTCCACAGATCTAGCCTGAAGAGTAGAGACAGAGAGAGCGTTCTGGTCCAGCCAGGTTGGCCCACCACCTGGAGGACAGGAATGGGAAGGGAAAGTGCTGAGTTGAAGCTGTACTAGTCCACATGGGAGAATACACACAGGATCATTACCAACTTCATACCACTGTAAAAGGACAGAGACCACTGGACGACACACTGCATCTCTCTCACCAGTTTAAGAAATTGTTGCTTCTCCCATGCAGAAGGTAGTAAGGATGTTCATGCTTGAAAGTGGTAGGTGGGGGGTTGCAGGGAACATACTCTCTTCCAAATTGTTCTGAAAGGACAGAATTCCTATTTTACACGCCAACATAAAATGTGTGGAGAATGAGGAAATGTTCACCTAACAGTGACACCAACTCTAATAAGAATGGCGAAGATGGCAAACTTGTCTTGAAGACTTATGAGGTGAAAACTCCGATAGAACTCTCATCTTTATTTTAATATTATGTCACACACACACACACACACACACACACACACACACACCATGTTATATATCAGTCCTGCACGAGGCTTAGGCAATAGTGAAATTATGATATTATCTTTCCCAGGAGCACTTGAAGAATGTGACTCTTGAAGAATGAAAAATGATCAAGAGCCAAACATTCTTCATGTTTAAATTCCAGGCACGATGACAAGTGGTGCAGAAGATATTTTGGGACCTGGGACATTGCCCAGGACTTTGTTATATTACATAGCTCAGGCAATGACCTGTTTGGGAGATTCAGGCTCCTAAGAGACTGTCTAGATTGCAGATAAATGGTTAATAGCTAGATTTTTATACTGTATCATAGACAAGAGTCATGACTCTCTGTGGGCCAAGTGGATTTTTAGACAGAGAATCAAAGCTGGTATTGCCTATTTCTGGTCCTAACTTACAAGAAGAGACTACTTTGGTCTGCCTAAATAACACTTTGGGACAGAGACCGAAGATTATAAAGGGAAAACTTCCCTTGAGGGGGGAGTATTTAATACAAGTTTTCTGCTAGTGCATGAACTATAAGTCAGCATGCCCAGAATACACTCAACATGGGAGAAAAAGGAGGGAGTGCTATACGCAGATGCTATTGGAATAGACAGCTGTAGCAGACCCTGGTGGCGCCAAAGACCATCTTCCCCTGACAAGGTCCCCAGCACTCTGTGTGTGAGACGACCCTGGTGGCGCCAAAGACCATCTTCCCCTGACAAGTCTCTGTGTGTGAGATGCTCCAGAGTTCTGGCAGTCTAATGCCTGACCACACCAGTTGCCTGGCACTCACACTAGGTGGATGATTTGAGGAGGTCTCTTGTGTTATTTAAAGATCTGTTTGGGGCTCTTGCATCCCATCACCCCACTGGGACCCAGACACCTTTGACCTGAGAATAGCTTGAGTCAGATTTGTGTTCTTGCTCAGGCCTTTGGGAAGCCACATTAGCAACTGCAAGCATGGAAGGGTTGGAAAGAGCTTGGCGTATGTGGCCTTAAATAACTCCTTTATCAAGCCAAGTTGTCCTTGCTTCCCCTCAGTTCTCTCACATCCTTGCAAAGTTTGGTCAGGGAAGGAAGAGTGAAAAAGGAGATGGGAAAGGCTGTCATGTCTCCATTTCTTGAAGTCAGTTGAGTTTGTTTCTTATTGACTCTCCCAGAGGAGCTGTTTAGAAGCTACAAAAATCTCCTAATCATCCATCATTCAATTGGTCTTATTCATTAATTCACTCAGTGTTTATTGAACACCTATTATGAACAAGGCCATATGGTGGGTAGAAGAGAGTAGGAAACTGTCCTTGATTCAAGGGACTCATAGCATTTTATAATTAGAAGAGAATATAGAGGTCATTTAATCTAACTTCCAGTCAGTGCAGGAATCCTTCTCTACCACCTCCATTACATGAGGTTCTTGGACTCTGCTTGATTATACCCAGTGATGGGGAGATCACTACTTCTAGGAAAGCCCATTCCATTGCTAAGATGTTCTATTATAAAAACTATCCTTATGGTGAATTGACATCTCTCTTCCTGTAATTTGGGAGCTACACTGGGAACCTACCCTTCTACATGGAAGTATTTCCAAGATCTGAAGACACGAAGTTACCGCTGCCCTTCCTCTTTCCCCTTTTCTGGGTTAACGGTTAAACTCCTCCTGAATCTTCAGCAGTGTCTCAGACAATGTTGTTTCTGAACTGAGGGCCAGCTCTGATACCTTCCTTTAGAACTTAAATTCATTTTTATAGCATTGGCATTCAGATGTGCTGCTGCAGCCAGCCAGGCACTCTGCTGTCTACTGGTTAGATGAAATATTGAGGATGGCCATCTCCCTTGTTCTAACTATTGTACATGTCCAAAGCTTCATGTGATGAGTTGTCTGATAAAGTTGTGAGCAAAGTGGTGTGTGAGTTAGTGGAAAAAAGGGAGTACTTTTAGCTGTGGGGAATCAGGGAGGGCTGCTTGGAGGAAGCAGCATTTGCTCTAGGTATTGAAAGATGATAATGTTTCAACAGGCAGAGATGGATGTTGAAGGGTTGGCTGCACAAAAGTTCATTTTGGTTAAAAAAAAAAAATAACGTTCCGACAGTGAGATTTGTTAAGTCCTTTAATAAAGGATTAGCTGAAAACCTGCTGGGAGAAAGAGGTACTTCTGGATGCCCTTTACAGCCCTGAGTTTTTGGTGACCAAATGTCATTGTGCTTTAGAGACGAGTGAAGGCCAGACAAGGGTCAAGGCCTAGAATGCTCTGTGAGGTGTCAGGAACCCATTTCACAGGTTTATCCTAAAAAAGAAATGTAGTTCTTCCGGGCTCACTGCTCCGTCGCTCCTCAGGTCTTTCATCACAAGCTGATAGGAAGCATCCTGATTGGCGCCTTCAAAGTGGACCTGGGTACTGTGTACAACCAGCCTGGTAAGAAAGCCTTGCCTCCTCGTAGCTCTCTTACTCTTCTCCAGTTTACCCCACCTGGAGGTCAACTCATTTATTTGCTCATCCATTTAACCATCCATTCAGTAACACTGAGCACCAATTATAGACTGTTGAGTAAGATATGGCTCTTTTCCTCAGTTTAAGATCTAATGACAAAATTATCTTATATGTCCATACTTCTGAGCAGCTTTTTCCATTCTCACAAATTCTGTCTCATTTAGTGCTGTGAGACAACATCAAGAAAGACAGGAAAGTGTTGAAGTTAAGAATATGGGCTCTGGAACCAGATTGACTGGGTTCAAATTCTACTCTGCTCTTTCCTAGTTGTGCATCCTTGGGCAAATGACTTGGTTTCTTCATATCTCAGTACTTTCTTCATAGGGTTGTTGGAGGATTAAGTTAATAAATATACATAGAGTGCTTAGTGTAGACCCAGCACAGAATAATGACTGTGGTATGCCATATAAGGATCTGCTGTAATAATCATTATTATCCCTGATTTAAAAGAAAGTGAAACTCAGAGAAACTAGGTAACTTGTCCAAGGTCAAGAGCTAATAAGTAATAAAGCCAACAATAAACATAGATCTTCTCATGAAAGGCCTCTTTTCTTCAACTGTAATTCAAACTCACATGTCCAGGGGTCCAGGTCATGTGAGTTTGAATTAGCTCTACTAATTCCATTAGGATTAGCATCTACTCAGCTCCTTTACCTTCTGCTGTCATGTGGAATGTGCCCTCTGTATTGCCTGGTCTAACAGTTTGTTTTTGGATAAGCCAGAAGTATAGGTTTTTGTATGAGATTTTGAAGTTTGGACTTCCAGTGTAGGCCAAACAAAAAAATCCATGAGCCACATTTATGGCCTGTGAAATAATATGTGACTTCTATACTCCTTTAATGTCCTCCTACTTCATCAAATCTAGAATTCTGGCTAGAGGATTTCTATCAGGTTGAAAGGCTTCCCAAATACTTGTGACCGGTTGGAGAAAAAGATGGTGAAGAGGATGGGAAGTAAAGGACAGGTGGGAAAGGAGGAGAGGGAGGTGGCATGAGACTTGGAAATAGCCCAGATGAGGTAATCCCTCAGTAGAGTGTGGGAGACCTTGGGTGTGGGAGAGCATTGGGTGGGGCTGGGTCCATCTGTGCAGGATATCTGAGCTGTCAGGACACTTTTACAGGTCATCAGTTCTGTGACAAGTGGGCCCTGCTCACAGACCCTGGTGATATCAGGATTGGCACGAAGGGGTATCTGAAGTGTGACATCAGCGTGATTGGGAAAGGCGACATCTTAAAGACCAACCCGAAAATCTCCGATGCTGAGGAACAAATAGAAAAGTGAGACAGATTCATCCAGGGCTGGGCAATGGAAATGATATGTTCCCATTTCCATGTCTCTTTCCCTCCCTCCCTTTCCTTATGGGTACACGAGAATGGCCAAGTTTATAGCTTATCCACATGGGATTCTGCTCTATCTGAGGCATCAAGATGTGTCTGACGGAAGGTGTAACTATGCATTTGGAAGTCAGTTTCTAGGACAAGTAGAGCCTGTCTTCCTATAATAACCCATAATAGACAAGCTATTCCTGAGCTTATCTGATTTATTTGAATTTAGCTGATTTTCCTTTGAAAGAATTATAATTTCAACCACTGATTTATAAAATGGGGAGACTTAATGTACCTATTGTAAGGTACAGCGTGGGAGACAGTGTTTATTCTATAATTGTAGGACCTAAGTGAGTTTGCATTCACTCTAATCA